GTGATAAGAGTTGTATGAGCCCCAATAAAATGATTTTTTTTAAAGTCTAGTTCACAACTCACGAATTTATTTTACTTGAATTCACAATCAATGCTTATGGAATAAGCAGTCAACAAATCAATTTATGTATTACATTAACAAATCTGCAGCAAAAGACCTTTTAATGTGTTAGAGAACAAAGATGCCACTTTGAGAACTTAAGGAGACCCTGACTCCAGCCACAGTATTTTCAATCGCTCCACAAGCATGTGAAAGCTGGCAATGAATAAGGAAGATTGGAGATTAATTGATGCATTTGTGTGTTAGCCCGGGGTAACTAGAGAACCAAATCCAGAGACACTCATATGTGTGTAACAGAGAGCTTTATATCAAAGAGTAATTGTATTATTGAGAAAACATCCCAGCCTATTCCAGATCAAGTCCATAAGGCCAATATTAGCTCATATGTCCATGTATTCCTCTTTAGACTCACGCTGCACATGCAATGATGCCAAATTCAGGAAGATCACAGGCCAGCAGGTGGAAAGTTTTGTGGATTCAGTGGTGGTGGAACCATCTCAATGCTGGTGTGGGTCTCCACATGACTCCTCCAGATTTAGGGCTCTGGCTGCCATCAGTGTAGTTCCATGTGGCTTGTCAACAGGAGTGTGCAGCAGAGAGAGTATGTGTCCTGCCTCCAGGGAGGGAGACAGGAGTTGCCAGAATCCTCAAGAGAAAGGCATGCCTACACAGAGGCCTCATTGGCTATGACCTGATTGACAGGCTAGACTCTACCCCTTCAAGTTGATGGGAGATTATGTAATTGCCACAATTTGAATTAAGGTATTGGCAAAGAATGTTGAAAGTTCTATGAATTCTCAGGAGAACAAATATGTCTTGAAGGAAGTGAGGTCAGGATGCTCCTTAGACTCGAGGATGGCAAGACTGTCTCACATACTTTGAATAGAAAAGTCAGCAAAAGATGAAACCCTCAACAAAGTGGATTGACACATTGGCTTCAACAGTAAGCTCAAACATAACCATTGTGAGAATGGCACAGGACTGGGCAGTGTTTCATTCAATTGTACATAGGGTCACTATAAATCAGAATTGTCTCGATGACACTTAATAACAATAACAATAACATGAGATTCTATGCTTAACTTTTTGAGGGACTTTCAAACTCTTTTCTCCAATGATTGTACCATGTTATGATTCTATTAGCCAGGGATGAGAATTCCTATTTCTCTACATTCTCACCAACACGTGCCATTTTTCATTTTCATAACTAGGCATCTTTGTGGGTACCATGAATTGAGTAATTCTCCCCCTCCCCATATGATTCTATTTGACTGGTCCATGTTTCTCAATTATTTGATATGTATGTAAAATATATATAATAATCCCTCATAATGTGTTCTGCTGTCATCAGCTAGTCAATTGTAAGCAGAGTAGGGTGTGATATCACCGTCTTATTCAGGTCACAGTTTTTATGACTATAAGGGGAGTTTTCTTGAGGTGTAGCCTTACTCATTATGAGTCTCTATGAGTCAATAAGATTCCCTCTGAGCCTGAATAGCTTTCAGTCGGACAACACTGGAGGCACAGTGTGGGGAATTGTGCCCAATCTGACCACACCACACCTGGGTGAAATGCTAAGGGCATGCAACAGAGCAGCAAGGGGAGCAAAGCAATGATGCCCCCAAGGAATGCCAAAAATAGACTTTGGGACCAGGGCATGGCACCCCATCAGACTGGACTGGAAAACACTCCTAAAGGTCAACAAACAGACCCGGAACTATTTATAGGCTTTTCTTTGTCATTGGGTTTGTTGTTATTGTTTTGTTTGGGTTTTCTGTTTTCTTTTGTTGTTTGGTTTTGCTTTGTCTTGTTTTGTTCTTATTATTGTTTCTGCATGTCTATTTAAATAAAATAGCCAGGATAAACAATCCGGAAGAGAAAACAACAGAACCAACAGTTCTGGGTGAGGGGGAGGCAGGGGGAAAGGAAGTGGCTTTAACAAACCCAGGGACAAAGTTAACAACAAGTGATCTAAAATCGATGGCAAGGAGTGTGTAGAATGTCTGGTGGGGCTTGATCAAGGAATTACTAAAACTTGAATGAAGGCCAAATATGATAGTGGGACAAGAGGAAAGTAAAAGGTAATAGGGGAAAGAACTAGGAAGCAAATGGACATTGATAGAGGTCTAAATACAGGGGTGTATATATGTAAATATATTTATATATAAGGATAGGGAAATAGAACTATGTACATATATTTATATGTTAAGTATTAAGGTAGCAGACGGAGATTGGGCCTCTACTCAAGTATTCCCTCAGTGCAAGAACACTTTGTTCTAATTACCTGGCCTTCCGTGATGCTCACCTCCCTGACAGCACCGTCGAAGACAAAATGGTGCGTAAGCAAATGTGGTGAAGAAAGTTGATGGTGCCCGGCTATCAGAAGATATAGCATCTGGGGTCTTAAAGGCTTGAAGATAAACAAGCAACCATCTAGCAGGGAAGCAACAAAGTCCACATGGAAGAAGCACACCAACCTGTGTGATCACAAGGTGTTGATGGGATCAGGTATCAGGCATCAAGGACCTAGAACAAAAAATTGTATCGATGTGAATGAGGGGAAGTGCAGAGTGGAGACCCAACATTCACCTGTAGACAATTTGGACATCCCCTCACAGAAGGGTCACAAGGAAGAGATGAGCCAGTCAGGGTGCAGTATAGCACTGATGAAGCATACAGTTTTGCTCTAGTTCTTTAATGCTTCCTACCCTCTCCTCCTCCCACTGTCATGACCCCGATTCTACCTTACAAATCCAGCTAGACCAGAGCATGTAAGCGGGTACAGATAAGAGCAGGAAATACATGTAATCCAGGAAAGATAACCCCCTCAGGACCAATAAGGAGAGTAGCATTACCAGCAGGATAAGAGAAAGGTGGGAGGAGAAAAGGGGGAATCTATCACAGTGATCCTACAAATAACCCACTCTCAGGACAACAGAAAAGTGAGTGAAGGGAGACATCAGTCAATGCAAGACATGAAAAAATAATAATAATTTATAAATTATCAAGGATTCATGAGGGAGGGAAAAATGAGAAGTTGATACCAAGGACTCAAGCAGAAAGAAAATATTTTGAAAATGATGATAATTATGATGGCAATAAATTTACAAATGTCCTCGACACAATGGGTGTATGTATGGATTGTGATGAGAGTTGTATGAGGCCCTAATAAAATGATTTAAAGAAAAAAGTACTAAAATGAAAAAAGGTAGAATGTGAATGAAAATAGTTTGCATGCACACACACACAAAGACAGCTAAAAGCTTGAATTGTTTTTTATCTTACCACAGATAAATGAACACAAAAGTAAAGAGAGAAACAGGGACCTGACTACAACTAAGGAAGTAGAGCCCAGAGGAGCACCTGTCCTTATTGCTCAGAGTCCTTGGGTTTAGACGCTCCTAGACTGAGAGGAAGATTGATGTCAGGACACATGCACAAGTAACATCCAGCCAAAAGAAGTTAAAGGGAGAAAAGGCTTTTCCTTCGCAGCCAACAGTGAAAGAAATTTTTCCACTAGAGCCAATATTCTGAATTTGGACTTCTGGCTACTCAACTATGGGGGGGGGAAAGCCTTTTGAAGACTTTTTGGTGTTTCTGTTGTAGCGATAGAAAATAAATGAGGCAGTAGGTCTGAAGCTATATCCCATGTGGTTTTAATATGCATTTACCTTACAACTAATGATGTTAAAGGTATTTATGTGTGCTTATCTACCTAAAGCAGTCAGTAGATTCAACACAATAAGGATCAATATTCCAGCCAACCAAAATTACTTTGAGGAGATTACAAAAAAGTCACAAAATACAATGTGTTTACATTTGCTCTGTAAACATTCAGCAAAACTACAATAAAAACTTTATGAAAAGAACCTATTGAAAAAAAGTTAGTTTCTCAAAAGCTCTCTACTTTCATAAATAAATCAGATTACCATTTCTTGTGGAAACATCATCTTAAATGTTCAGTAAACAGGAGAAAAATTTGAATTATGGGTCATTTTACAGTAGATGGTTATTGACTAATGTTATGGATGTGCTATATTCTACATAAACACTTGCTGAATTAGTTTAAAATTAATCATTTCAAAATCATATAATGTACTCAGAAAATGTTTATTTTGCATAGAAAAGGCAAAAGAATAATGAATGTTAATATTTTGCTGTGAACGCTGGCCAATAAAAAGTAAGATAGAGATTAATATTTTTGTTCTTCGAAACAATGACAACAAAAAACAAATCCAAAATATCAAACCCATTGCTAAAAAAATCATAACAACACTATCTAGTGTTCCCAAAGTTGGATGATCTCATCTACTTCCACAGAGCAACGGGTGCCTTTGAACCACCATTCTTGTGGCTAGCAATATAAGGGCTAACCCACAGTACCACCAGGGCTCCTTCTTCTTCATAATCTTCTGAAATTTAAACAATGATTACATAGTACATCCAATTATTTTTCAATCAGATAAAAGGAAAAAATATACATATAATCAAGAGATAAGTCTGAAACTAATCAATCAGAAAACATTACATAGAGTTCAGATCAGTATGGAATATTGAGTACTGCAGCATTTATCGCCTTCTAACACAAATCTTCATAAAATAACAAGAACGGCAGTATATACATAAAATAAATCCATGCCTCACTAGTATAAAGCCATGGGAGAATAATTGAATTACGGAAGGCAATGGGACTAAGGCCAAGAAAGGGGTGGAAGTGGGGATGGGTTGGTGAATGCAGGGAGTCTAAGCCCCAAGACGGAACAGTAAGAGTTACAGTATGATGGTCATGAACCCAACTGCCAATAAATTTTAAAAGGGGCAGTACCTAGAGACAAGAAGGCACTCATGGGCCCAGAGAACTTCTGGGGATTTGGATTAGGGTGGCGCATGTGTTTAGCAGGAAGGGGAGGACTCTTTCCTAGCAGGAAGCTGCGCTACCTTAAGAAGGAGGAGACTGCAGCTGCCTCAGCTGCCTGTGGGAACTCTATGTGGCAGAGTTGCCCTCTGCACCAGCAGGAAGACTGAGGAGTCAAAATCCCAGTACTTGTGATAGCACCTCCATCCTCTTCACCTTCATAGAATTGCTCATCCTCCAAAGACAGACCCTCCCCTCTCAGCCCTTGCAAGAATTCAGCTACTGGCCTGAGGATCCCCCATCAACACAGGATCACAGCACTGGAGGCAGCGAAGTGTCTGATTTGGGCACGTGAGGCTCGCGCGATCAGGGGCGGTGGGCTCCAGGCAGGGCAAGGCCATTGGTGGGCACCGGAATGAAGGTGGGGGGAGGGGGGAGAAGGACTCCTCCGCGGGGAATTAGTGGTGGGGGTGGGCGCCAGGAGTAGTGGAGGAGTGCAGTGGGCAGTGGGTAAAGGAGTGGCCTTAGGAGCCAGGCAGAGATGTGAAGGTGAGCCCTGGGAAGCAAGGGTGGTGTGTACCAGAAAAGGGATTGTTGTCCGAGGGGGCTTGTGGGAAACTGACTGGGAATCTCAGGGAAAGAAGGCAGGGGGGTACTGGTCAAGGCGGCAGAGGGATGAGCGGTTTATAAAGGGTTGGGAGTGGGCTCCAGTGGCGGGAGAGTGGGGACAGTAGTTACCATGGGCGCTGAGTACTGAGGAGGCAGCCCACCCTCTCCTGCAGAGTTCCTTACCACCGCCAGCACCAACACTGCCCCCGCCCTGCTGCGCAGCTTAAAGGAACCTAGGAGGAAAGACACTGCAGGCACGCAGCCAGGATTCCCAGCATTGCTGCAGGACTCTGGGGGACAAATATTGGCGCCTCACGGGGTACACAGACCACACATCGCTATGGGAAGAAAGAAGTTCAGCTAAAATGTATTGAATTGTTCTGTCCTCTCTCTTCTCGATGCAGGCATGAAGACCCCCACCGCACAGGAGACTCGGGGACAACAAACCAGAGCAGCTGCAGGACTGGCCGCTGGATCTGCAAACATAACGAAAAAAAAAATCTCCCAAAAGAAGCAGAGGGGCAGACCTTCTTCTCAAACCCGCAGGAACATGGTGGGCTGCAGAATTTCACATGGATGGAAGGAAGGTGATGAGCCCATCACCCAGTGGAAAGGAACCGTTCTGGATCAGGTGCCTATAAATCCCTCTCTTTATCTGGTGAAATATGATGGAATTGACTGTGTCTATGGACTGGAACTTCACAGAGATGAAAGAGTTTTGTCTCTTAAAATTCTTTCTGACAGGGTGGCATCCTCTCAAGTCAGTGATGCAAACCTTGCAAACACCATAATTGGCAAAGCAGTGGAACATATGTTTGAGGGTGAGCATGGTTCTAAGGATGAATGGAGGGGGATGGTCTTAGCCCAAGCACCTATCATGAGAGCCTGGTTTTATATTACCTATGAGAAAGATCCTGTCTTGTACATGTACCAGCTTTTAGATGATTATAAAGAAGGTGACCTCCGTATCATGCCAGAGTCCATTGAATCACTTCCAGCAGAGAGAGAGTCAGGAGGAGTTGTAGATGGCCTGATAGGTAAACATGTGGAATACACCAAAGAAGATGGCTCCAAACGGATTGGCATGGTCATTCACCAAGTGGAAGCCAAGCCCTCTGTGTATTTCATCAAGTTTGATGATGACTTCCATATCTATGTCTATGATTTAGTGAAGAAATCTTAACTGTCAATGGTAAACTTGGCCATACTTGTGGAAACATGTAATGTGTACACATGCAAAAAATATTTGTTTGTTTGTTTGTTTGTTTGTTTGTTGGTGTATTGAAAGCTTAAGGGCCCCTGTTAACCCTACATGTTTGCCACGTAACTGTTGTTTTGTTCTGAAAAATACAAATTTATGTGGACATGATATGCCATGTGTAAGGTATTTGTCTTATTGAAATGGTTTGGGTGTATTTGATGGAGGGGCAGGAAAGGAGAGAACAGCTGTGAATAAAGTTAATTTGGGTTCATAACCAGTCATCTAAAAATAAAATAAGATGTTGGTGGGCCTACTCTAGAAAAGAAGAGGGGAAGGAACTAGAGATGGGCTATTAGGGGAAAGGAGAAGATTATTGCTTAGGAAATAGTAGGAATAAAACACAAAAGTTGAGAAGGGTAGAAGTCGGGTGGGGGGGCATCTAACTCGAAAAGGCATTGAGAATGGCTGAATGATAGTGAAATCTTGGGGCCTATAAGAACATAGGCATCAGGTTGTATAGAGAAGTTCACAAATAAATATTGGAGTATACCAAAAGGAAGAGAGACTAATTGGACAGCAATCTTGGGATGGTGGAGGGGGAAGTCTATAGGATGTATAAAGGAGGCCAGAAAGGAGAGAGATTGAGTGAAAAGGGATGATAAGAAATGATAAGAATTAGTGACAAAGGGAGTTAGATAGAACACAGGAAAAGGAAGAAGAGAGGTAGTAACAGGAGATATAGGAAGGCCCCGAAAATAGTTGGAATTTTTATAGCTTCCAAATGGTCTCTCCTGATTCAATGAACAATGAAAGGAATAGTCAAAAAAGTAAGTTGGATTGAAGGTTCCCTAGAAGGACATTTTAATACAATTGGTCTAGGCCAGTTAAGCAAGAACCAACTTTACACGTAAACACTTTCCTTATTGCAACCAGTTTATAATGTACTCTATTCCCACACCTTGCCTCCAGCCAAGCTGACCCCAGCCTTCAGCTTAGGTACATTACCATGTTGTACTATAACTGCTGGGCTTTAGACCACCTCCTCATATTTATCAATCACCCAGGTACAGTAAATATTGGGCCAGACGTTCTTGGTTTGCTTTCCCTAACTGGATAAGCAGAACATGTGGGAAATGTAACTGTGGACAATGTGCCACCTTGAATTTGGAAAGTATTTATCCAGAAAAACCTGAATACAAGTACAGAATCACTGTTCTTCTGCCCGGTAAATATTCACTGCCTCCCTAGAGAGGAGATACATCAAAGAATTGAGCCTAATGTCTCTCCCAGGCATGGGGAATATTCTAAAATTTCATCATTCTCTCCACCAAGTGTTTTGTCATAGGAAGCTCCTACTGCCAGAAGCACACTGTTGGCTAGATCCTCTACAAAATCTGTAACTGGTGATCCCCTTGAAGTCAACTCCTAGCCAACTCTTCCCACCCCATTTCCATAGGGATCTGCGGTATACATTTGTACAGCACATTTTTGCTAAGTGGGGTACATGTGGTTAGAAGTTGCAACTGTAACTCTTTCAGATGTATAGTGCCACAAAAGGGGGTGGTGATGCATGGCCAGAAGGGAGCTGCAACTCCTATAATATTCACCAGAAAGAACGTGTCCCAAATGCGCAGGTCTGTATCTTTCTCTTCCCCTGGTGCTTATTCATGGGTAGTCATTCAACTAAAATCCTTTCCTAACACTTGTCTCTGAGTTCCCCAACTCTAACTAACCAATAGTCCTTATTCCTAAGGAAAAGGGATAGTGAGTACAGACTATCCAGGCTTCCCTAACTGCATGCATTGTATAGGGAGGGATGGAGCTTCCAGGAACTGAAAAAGGGAGCATCCAAAAGAACCAGCCACTCCATAAGAAAAAGATGAAGCTTTCTGTTTCTGTAAAGATTTACAGCCTTGGAAACCCACTGACATTCTATTCAGTCATAGGGTTTGTATGAGTCAGAATCCACTAGATGGAAGTGAGTGAGAAGTACAGCATCCCCTTCACTGTTTTTCCCCATGTAGAACAAAGAAGCATGAAAAAACAAAAAACAAATCAAGGACATATGGAAACAACTGTTTCAAAAGATTAAAGGAGTACATGAACCCCAGTCCCAACAACCCTGAGTTCAGAAAGGAAAACAACATGGAACCTGGCTACCATTACGAATCACATTGAATGGTGTGTTAGAAGAACTTGGATAGAGTCAGAAAAAAAGTGGAACAAAATTTCTTTAAAAAACAGGCTCATTGGTCAGATAGAGACTGGTGGAACCACTGGGAATATGACCCTTAGTCATCCTTTAGGCCTGGAACTGAACTCATCCCAGTGGTTCAATTTTCAGCTAAACAGTACAGGTCTCTAATGTGAGCAAAAGTACTAGGAACATATGCACTCCTTAAAACATTAAATTATTAGGGATCAAAAGGGTAGCATTTCTCTAAGGTTCAGACAACAGGAAGGGCTAGAAAAAGAATAGAAACAGCAAAAAACAAAGAGGAAGTAGGATGAGTGACATTACATTGTGAGGATCACAATCAATGACATAAAACAAAATTCACATAAATTAAATGGAAAACTGATTTTCTGTGTAAACCTTCACTCAATTCACAATAAAAGCTAAAAAAAAATTTTTAACCACTCCTGGCAACCTACCTTACATATTATATTAATTTTCGTTCATACATCACATAATTTAGTTCAGTGAACAACAGAAGCTAATTTCAACCAGCTCTTAAATTTTTTTATGTCATGTTTTTATATTGTTTTAAATTTTAATTAACTATTTTATAAAGTTGAAAGATTTCAAATTATTAAGACTCATATTTCTGGCTTCTCAAAAAAATTCAAGGATAAGGGCCTACTTCACAAGAAGGATATAAGCAGGAGTAATTGAGAAGGGACTAAGCCCATTTTAGGCTCAGAATGCTCTCCAGTTGGTCACACACCCATCTGACTTGCTTCACTATGAAAAAAAGACCAGTTGTCCTCCTGCAGGAACGTCTGGGCTAGACCCAGGGACAACTACTTAGGCATTCTTTTGACTCATTTGGTCTTCATTCACTTTTTAATTCATTAATTTTAGCTTCATCCAACAAATAATTTGTTGTTTCTTGTTTGTTTGTTTTTGAGGCACGGGGGTGGGGGCTTTCTAGCAAGCATCCTTCTAGACACGCTTTATGTTGATATAAGCAATAAAACAAAACAAAATTCTCACCCATAGAGCATCATTTAGTTTGATAGACAAAAATATGCCAATCTCAAATACAATTTAAGGAGAACATTTATCTACCCTTAAAAACACAAAGACATAGACACATCATTTGGATGAGGAAGGCCATTATCATAAGGTCAAATGGCGTTCGAGGAATCACCATCAGGATACTAAACAAAGTGTAGAATAGGCATAGAACAAAGGAACTGTCACAATCAATCCAGTTACAAACAAAACTAAAGAAGCAGAAAAAGAGCCATGATTCACAAACACACACACACACACACACACACACACACACACACACATTTTAGAAGGGCTTACAAGACTGGTCCAGGGCCTTTTGACCAAGGTAGTCAAGCAAGACTGATAGACATGACTCATGACTATGTGAACTCCAGTATGGTGATCTCTATCAAAGACACACCCAAGGACACCCCTAAGAGTCTGCCTTTCCCTGGGCTGGCTAAAAAAGTGTGGATGTAATCCATTTTCCAAGGCACTCTGCTTGAGAGTAAGATAATCTACATCCTTGGTTAAGGACCTCAAGAATTCAACGGATGCTTAATCTATGTGGACACTCTGCAAATGGTTTTTGGGTTGTCACTGCTAGCGATAACCTTTCAGAATTTTCGCTGTAATGCACAGTAAATAAAATAAGTCAAACACAAAAGATTTAAACAGTTACAAGTGCTGACAAGGAAAAACTCATATGCACAGTATGGGGAAATGAAATGCCAGAGAATTGGCCATGATTAGACAAGTATGACTTGGACAGTAAAGGCCACACTGAGACACATGGATTTTGAATAAAAACCTGAAGTCAATTAGCCACATGGCTGGCGATCAGAAGAGTTAGTACTGATGTCCCAATGCAGAAGTGGTCCTGTCACAATTAAGGAACCAATGCAGAATTGAACCTGTCACAATCAAGAAACACTAAAAATGGCAGCATAGCTAATATTCAATAGGCAATAAAGAACAGCCCTGCCGGCATAGTGGTTATGTATTGGGCTGCAATCTGAAACATCAGCAGTTCGAAACCAACAACTTCCCTGTGGGAGAAAGATGGGTCTTAGTACTCCCATAAAGAGTCATAGAATCAACTCAGTGGCAGTGAGTTTCCTATTTTTTTTTTACCCCAAGGAAGAGACATCCTGGTGGTGCACAAGGACAGCTTTATAGAGTTGCTCTGAGTCAGAATCAACTAAATGGCAGTGAATTGAGTTTTTAATGTAGAAAATGGCAGGAGAAGAGTTTAGAGTGGTGATAAGGATGAGGGAGTTGCAGATGACTTACAGCTTTTTAAGTTTGGGAATGGAATTTAATTTGGAGAGATGGAGAGTCATCAAGTATTTTCAGAAAATTAATGGTGTGATTTGTCATATATATATGCATGGTTTTTTAATTGATCATATATTGAAATGCTAATATATTTCACTTCCCCTTCCCTCTTGGCTTCCCTCCTCTCCACAACCCACAACTCTCTGCCTCCGTGTAGCTTTCAAAATCTGCTTCTTTTGCTGTGAAAACCATTTTCGTGTTTTTATCTTTTTTGTTTGTTTGTTTTGTTTTTATATTTTATAGTAGTAATGTCATGTAATATTCGTCTTATGAGATTGACTAAGTTTGTTGAGCATAATGTTTTCCAAATTTGTGTATGTCATGAGTGTCTGACAGTTTCCTTGCTGTTTTTTAGAGATGCATAATATTCCATTGTATGTATACACTGGAATTTATTTACCAATTCCTCCACATGTGGATGTCTTGGTTGCTTCCATTTTTCTGCTTTTGTGGATATCGCGGTGATAAGCAGAGGTGTACATATATCTCTTGGTGTTTTATTCTGTATTTCTTTGGGGGAATATACCAAGTAGAGATATTGTTAAGTCATAAGGTATTTCTGTTCCCATTTGTTTAAAGAAATACTATCCTGTTTTCCATAATGGCTGTA